AAGTTACGAATCAATTATTTGATGAAATACACTTTTTATGTAATTTTCATAGTCTGTGGAGTGATTGTCAAAAGCATATTTCTAAAGACGGGTTCAAGAGTATGTACAAGGGACGAGGAAATAATCTGTATTACTTATTTTAATTAAAGATACGTTTTAAAATGCGACATCGACAAATACTTAATCCCCATTTAACTACAACTTCATTTAAACAATAATTAAAGTGGTAGATTTGCGATCGACAGAGCACGGGTTTGAGTTTCTCGGGTTGCGGACCTGGAGTTTGGTGTGGCTGGCCGATGGTGGCTTATAAAGTTTTAAATGGCCATTCCCACCTCCCTTATCTTAACCAGTAATCCCATTCTGTTCATATTACTTACCGCTGTGCCACTACCTTCGGGAATGTAGATCGAGCCCCAAGGCACTACAAAATGAAAATGTTTATAACTCATTGGAAGACCACAGTGCTACGGTAAATGTATTGGCGCAGAAAACGGTGAGTATAATTCTCTTTTCGACATTTAAGCCAACGATATTGACAGCTACATGTGTCTCTAAGCCACAGGAATAAGAATTCCCCCTAAATTTCCCCCGTAAAATTCTTGGAAGTTTCGGGTTAGAACGAGAGTCAAGGCTATAGTTAAATTCGAGCTAAGCTTTGTGAAGCTCTTGTTGGAGTTAATTCAAGGGTCATAGTTAAGGTTAGTGTAACGTATTTGTTAGGGTTAAAGTTGGGGAAGAATGAATTTCTATTGCAAGGCTTGGGACACCGGACTACTTAAGGCCAGTGCAACTGTATGGAGCGTTTCTATTCTCGTAACCTATCGAGGTTCTGGTTAATGAATATTGAAGTACTGTTTCGGACGATGCATGTTGACAACTGATGCTGTTGCTGGGATCAGGAGGATGAAATGCCCAACTGCTCTGGTAACTGCCTTTCCACATTTTCTTCCTGTTTGCATATGGCAGTGCCAGGCGTACGCTTTGCTTCATATCCAACGTTACTTTAAATTAGTCACTGTCTTCGTAAAATCTAGTTTCTATAAGTGGCCACTGAGAAGCAACTCGACTCTTTTAGCATAACTCGAACAACAAAATATATTATTTGTGAGAAAAATGCATAGTGTGCCTGGGCTAATCAGACATACATTAGTTAATAATCATTGTAAGGAATCGGCTGTGCCGCCCCTGTAGAAAACGTTGTCATTAAATTTCTCCTTCATTGGAAAGAACAGGTTAACAGCCTGATGTAAATTAAACATTAAGTAAAACCACCAGGCGCTTAGAACCTATTTCGGTCTTTGTCCGAAGCAATCGCATATTTCCAACTTTGCTTAAATAGTTTCACGGTTTAAAGCACGGTCGAAGGGACCCATTTTCCAGTTTTTTTCCAAACAAAGCAACAAACTTAAAAATGGCCTGGAGAAGAGGGCAGAAAATTAGCGCAACTGAGACAATTTTCTCTTCGATAACCCTCCCTCACCAGAGAAGAGAAAAACACAGTTAGAGCCCTCAGAGACCTCATAATGAAACCGGAAAAACGCAAAACTTTTGAAAGGAAAATATAAACGTTAAACCATTGTCTTTATGCATAACAAACCACTTGTTAACGCATCAGATGAAGACAGTAATACATTGGATTCAGTCCGAGGAACCAGTTGTGCTGAGTAAAAACCAGTTTACAACTTGTCTTCTTCTAAAACACGTCTGTCACTATATTATCTATTATAACGATCACTCAAGAGCTAATGCTGTTACAAAACATGGACGAATACAAAACACCTGTGCTCTAAAAAAATAGTTCGATTGCTTTTAGCCTTCCTAAGGGGCATTTAATTTGAAGACTCGTGCCCCGACCTCCTTCTTGTTCAATGTACCAACTCACATCAATGTAAATAGAAAACGTCCTTATTATTCGAACCCGAAATCGACCTGATTATGATTGATAAAGTATTGACGGCAACAGTAGCTTATGTAGCCCCACTCATTAATCCCTACAACCTGCACGT